AGCCATCCAGATTGGTGCCATCACTGCTTCCAGTGGCAGCAAATTCCATAGTTCAACTACATGTTGTATGAAGAAGTACCTTCTCTTGTCTGCCCAACCCCTCCCCCAGTCAGTTTCATGGGATGTCTTGGGTTTGAGTGTTATGGGAGAGACAGAAAAAATGCCTCCCTCTCCATTTTCTCCCCTCCATGCATAATTTTAAACACTAATATCATGCATCATGTTAAGCATGTTCTAAACAAACCGCGATTCATGACCCTTCAAACTGCCCCTCCCCATCGCTTTCCCTGGTCCCCAGAGAAAAGAGCACCAACACTGATTCAGTCGTATGCAAGCGCCTTTGGGGGGCAGCTCAACCGGCTCTCCCGCAAAACAGCTCTTAAAGGGAAGAAAGCCGGTGCGTCTTTCGGGACTCCAGGGGGATGCAAGTCTCCAGGAATTCTCCCTCTGGAGCTTATGCCCGTCAGGAAGATGGCGGTAGCGCCCCACTATGAGGAAGTGGTCTTAGAGGTCCGGGACTAACTGCTAGCATTCCTACCCACTGGCCATGCTGGCTACAGCTGATGGGAGCCATGCGTCTAACACGTCCGGAGGGGGCGAGGTTGAGGAAAGCTCCCCAAGTCCCTGCTTGAACGCTCATTTTTCTTGAACGGAGATCTAACCTCCCGTCTCCAGCAAGAAGCCCCTCCTTCTGGATTCGGGGGGGGGGCGTCCTTAGCAAACAGCCCGTCAAGAGACCCGCTGTGCGTGCAAAGTCGAAAGGAGGGTCGCCTTGCCTTCGCAATCCCGCCCGCCGCCGCCCCCCACCTCCGCAACCAAAACAGGGGCGAGCCGAAAAATGGTTCCTCCAAGCCAGGCTCCTCTACTTGGACTGGAGACAGAATCCGCGTCGGGAAATGTGCCGTCTGAGCGCCCGGGCGGCCCCCTTCCGCCGATTCGCCTGGAATGGCCACACTCCCGCTGTTTGGCCCCCAGTCTCTCCCTCCCGGCTACCAGGGCAAACGCCACCGCGTCTCCCTGCACCCCCGGGGGGCGTCTGCCTCGGCCAGGCGGCGGCACGGCTGCGAAGCCTGGGCGTCGCCCCCCGGGGCGCCGAGGCCTGCGGGAGTTCCCACCTCGGTCGAGCAGAACGAGGGCGAGCAAAGGCGGCTCGGGCCACGCTGTCTTCGCCCCTCGCGGCGCAGCTCCCGGATCGCTGCGGAGCGGCTGCCGCTGCCGCCGCCGCCGCCGATGCAAGCGAGCTCCCTCCCGCTGATCCGGATGCAGCAAGCGCCTGATACAGGAAACTCATCCCGACAAACGCGGGGCGCCGAGAGACAAAGAGAGAGCGCAGCCTCCCGTTCCGTTTAACTGGCCAGGGCCCTCTGGTGGCGGCAAAGCGAGGCTGGGGGTTGTCGGGGTCGACGACCGCCGTTTCCCAGCGCACCAGTCAGGCTGCACGTTTTACTTGGAAGTAAGCCGAAGTGGTCATGGAGAAAGCTAGGGAGTTTCAGAAAAACATCTACTTCTGCTTCATTGATTATGCTAAAGCCTTTGATTGTGTGGATCACAACCAATTGTGGCAAGTTCTTAGAGAGATGGGAGTCCCAGACCATCTTATTTGTCTCTTGAGAAACCTGTGTGCGGGTCAAGAAGCAACAGTGAGAACTGGACATGGAACTACCGAGTGGTTCAAAATTGGGAAAGGAGTAAGGCAAGGCTGTAAACTGTCGCCCTGCCTATTTAAGTTATATGCAGAGCACATCATGAGAAAGGCTGGGCTAGATGAATCACAAATTTGAATTAAGATTGCTGGGAGAAATATCAACAACCTCAGATATGCAGATGAAACCACTCTCATGGCAGAAAGAGGAACTAAAGAGTCTCTTGATGCGGATGAAGGAGGAGAGCGCAAAAGTTGGCTTGAAACTCAACATCAAGAAAACTAAGATCATGGCATCTGGTCCTATCACTTTCTGGCAAATAGATGGGGAAGAAATGGAGGTAGTGACAGATTTTATTTTCTTGGGTTCCAAGAGCACCACAGACGGTGACTGCAGCCAAGAAATTAAGACACTTGCTCCTTGGGAGGAAAGCTATGGAAATCTAGCCAGCTTACTAAAAAGCGGAGACATCACCCTGCTGACAAAAGTGCTACAGTGGTACCTTGGCTCACAAACTTAATCCCTTCCAGGACTCTGGTTGTGACCCAAATTGGATGTGAGCCAAGTTAAATTTCACCATAAGGTTCAATGTAAATAAGGTTAATCCATTTTGTAACTATTTTTTTTAATCAGAAAAAAGTGAAGCAAAGTGACAACAAAGATAGCGGCCATCTCCCCCCCCCCCCACCAGCATTACTGCAACCGAGCCAGTCATCTCTGCTGGGGGGGGGGAACGGGTGGGAGATGGCAGAGATCACAATTGCACTCATGCAGGAAAGACAGGCACAATCTTGAGGCACCACTGTATAGTCAAGGCTATGGTTTTCCCAGTTGCAATGTATGGCTGTGAAAGCTGGACCATAAGGAAGGCTGAGCACCGAAGAATTGAGGCCTTTGAATTGTGGTGCTGGAGGAGACTCCTGCGAGTCCCTTGGACCGCAAGGCGATCAAACCGGTCAGTCCTAGAGGAGATCAACCCTGACTGCTCTTTAGAAGGCCAGATCCTGAAGATGAAACTCAAATACTTTGGCCACCTAATGAGAAGGAAGGACTCATTAGAGAAGAGCCTAATGCTGGGACTTCGCAACTAGCAAAAAGCTGAAGTGGAGACTTGCCTCCTCTCTGGCGGCCTTCGCAGCTCGTGATGTGTTGCCATATATAAGCTTAGGCTATCCATTTCTGGAGCGATAGGTAGGTAAGGGTCTTATATGGCACCTTAAAATCTAACACGTTTAACATGGCACAAGTTTTTATGGAGTTACAGAACCTTAAATTCAGTTAATGTAATTTTGTGGGCATTACCCAGCAAGTCTAATAAGGTGTCTACAAAAGCTTATGCCACAATAAATGTGTTAATCTTTTAACTGTATATATTGGATTAGGATTGCATCCTTAATCATAAATTACTGTTATTTTTCATATAGCTGCCCAGGCAGCACTTTGCAGCCACAGGATCACACACTTATCAAAATTAACTTCCAACAAATTGCAGTGCTTGTGCAAATAATTTTCTTGTGACTAAAAAGTTTGCAAAATATGTGTCAGATGAGCCCTGGCATCCCATAGCCAGGGCATCACTGCCAAGAAAGCTCATTTTTTTGGTGAAACAACATACATTGAATAAAAGAAGCAACTGGCATAGATCTGAAGATTTTAAAACCATGGTCAGGTTGTAACAAATTAGTTTTGTTTTTTATCTGAATTCAGGAAACATTGTATAAACCAACATTTCCTACTTATTAGGAAGTCCCATTGAATTCATTTGTTTCCAAGTAAGTACATGTAGAATTGCAGTCATGTAAGTGCAGTTAACAAGCCAAAATATCAAACCACAGTCAAAGTGCTTTGATATCCTGGATTAATTAACTGGTTTGCACAAATCTGATCTTCAAGTGGAACAGGAAATCACATACAGAATCTTTAAGCTTCCCTCTGTCGTGTGCAAGCGGCAGCATCCAGAAAACATGCCAGGTCAAACCTTGTGCTTGTCTTTTCTTATCACAGCACCAGACCTGACAGGAAATGTAGACTAACAGAAAATCAGCTGGGATAAGTAAACTGGCAAAAATAAGCAATATCTCAAAAGCTTTAGGATAACTATCTCTACAAGGGAAAAACAGTTCTCATATGATAAAAGGTAAAGGTAAAGGTTTCCCCATGACATTAAAGTCCAGTCATTTCTGCCTCTTGGAGGTGGTGCTCATCTCCGTTTCCTAGCCGAGGGAGCCAGCGTTTTTCTGCAGACAGTTTCTGTGGTCATGTGGCCAGCGTGGCTAAACAGAGGTGCATGGAACGCTGTTACCTTCCCACTGAAGTGGTACCTTTTTATCTAATTGAATTTGCCTGCTTTCGAACTGCAAGTGTGGCAGGAGCTGGGACGGAGCAACGGGAGCTCACCCCGTTGTGCAGATTCGAACCGGCGACCTTCCGATTAACCAGGCCAGCAGCACAGCAGTTTAAACCACTGCGCCACTGCACTTCCATGAGATGCAAGAAAGCAAAACCAAATGATACAATTGTCACTAAATACCCCCTGCATGGTAGTGTAGTGACATCTGAATGCAGCTGCAGTGATTTTATTTTGGACACTTTGTTTTAATGGAGGTTCTCAGACAGCTGCTCCTAGTCCAAGCTGCCTTGGTAGGATGTTTTTGGTTTTTACATTTTTATACCATCCAAGGGCCAAAGGTTCCTATGTGCTGCCTCCTGGATGGATTTTCCTCTTATCAAGGAGCAGGCAGCATCTCAAGTGTTGGAAGCGCATGCAGGCGTGGTCTGAATCCATGCCATGGCTGGGCCAAGGGTCTTCCCGCTCCTCTCCAGGTTTGCCATTCAAATCCACCACCATCCATGCTGGCTGCACTGTGGAGTTCGCCTGTGGGTGAAAGCGACAGACGCTTCCAGAGACATGAAAATATAGATAGGAAAAAAAACATTTCAGAGAGGTGTGTATCATTTGCTTTCAGTGGCTGCATCGTTTTCTTGCAAAAGAACAAAAAAACACGGGAGGTGGAGAGAAGGACGCTTTTGGCTGCAGGTGCCAAGTCCCCTGCAGTGGCAGAAGAAAAATCTCAGCCAGGGAAAAAGCAAAATGAATTCTCTCTGTGGCGACAGCGCAGGGCACGCAAACGTACGAAAAGCCATGCGGCTCAGTGCCAGGGCTCCTCTAGCCCAGCGTTCCGTCCATGCAGTGGTCCAGCGGCTGCCAGTGTGCCTAAGGGAGCAGCACCCACACAGGTCCCAAGCAGCCAGCGGTTTTGTCCAGGTGCAGGAGGAAGCGGAGAGTCTGTAGCCACCACAAGCCATCACCCTGGAACTGAAGACCCCTTCAGTTGGAGGAGGAATCCCATGGATGCGTCATTGCCAGAGGTGGCTCAGTCCAGCCTCCTGCCCTCGTTGGGGCGTGCCTGCGGAGACGGTCTTGCGGAGCAGCCACCATTCAGAAAGGACCACCACATCCAGCTCCTCTGACAGCCCTTCCGGTGCAGAAGTCTTCTCTGTAAAGTAGCACTGGACCACTTTAGGACTAGCGCTGGCACCCTGGGGCTGGGTCAGGGCACCCACACCCTCCAGGCTTTAAAAAAAGAAATCCCGGAAAAGAGGAAGTGGGAAAAGAGGGGGCAGCCTCTCCTGGCAATTCCCATGGGTGTGTGGGCAGCTACCACCGAGGGAGGCAGGAGGCAGCTCCTACTTCGGAGGGGAGATTAGGAGCAGCTCCCTGACCGAGGACATCCGTGCTTCATCTGCTCGTGCCTCTTCAGGTGGCTCTTCTGGATGTAGCTCTTGTCACAGTAAGAGCACTTGAAGGGCCGCTGTGCCCAGTGCAGCATCTGGTGCCTCAGCACTGTTGACTTCACAGAGAAAGTTTTCCCACAGTCAGGGCAGAGGAAGGGCTTCTCAGCAGAGGCCCGGTCGCTGGGCGCCTCGGAAGCCACGGATCCACCTTGCCCACTGTCACCGCTCAGAGCTGGAAAACGCGGGTTATGGAGGCAGCTTGGCTTTGGGGGGCTGCTGGGGATCGAGCCCATCCTGTCACTGGGGTGCTGAACGGGTTTTGACTTTGGATGCATAAGCAGTTTCGGGCCCAGGCCAGAGTTTCTCTCCTGCCCAAAATCTGGAGAGGTATTTTCTTTCTTGTGGAGCCGTTGATGCCTGCGGATGCTTGATCGGTGGCTGAAGCCTTTCCTGCAGTCGGGGCACTTAAAGGGCTTCTCCACCCCAGCCCCCATCTGATTGGGAAGGGGGCCGAGGCTAAGCTGGCTGAACAGTCCCTCCCAGTCATCCGCAGGGTCGGCCTGGTGCTTGGGGACACCTGTGCAAAACCTAAGCTGGTGGCCACAATCAGGACATTGGAAGGACTTCTCTTTGGATGGGGCCAATGGATGCGCGGCGGGGTTTAGGCCCAGACTAAGTTTCCTTCCACAGTTGGGGCACAACTTGGGTGCCTTTTTAGTGAGCACTCCCTTATGAACCCGAAAAGACAGAGGCTCATGGAAACCGTCCCCCATGTTGCTGCTCGGCCGATGGCTCACACCTGTTTGCAGAGCTTCCCTCGTACCGCGATCACAGCAACACCCTTCCCTTCTTGCATTGTTCCCAGGAAGTGCGTTGCATTTGATGTCATCCTGGGTACTGCTCTGCTCATATCCCCAGGGAACGGTCCCTTGGTTTTGTTCCACTGCAGCAAAGCACGTTGCTGTCGGCTGCTGAGAGCCTTTCTCCTGGGGCACAGATGCTTCTGACTCTCTAAACATGTCTGGATGACCAGGGGACATGCTGAGGTTTCCCCCTGTGGCCTCCCAGCTCCTTGTCTGCAGATCAATCAGGTCGTCAGAGGGCTTTCCCCGGAGGATGCCTCCTTCCGATTCTCGCACAAAATTATACTGCAGGCGCACCAGTGGCGTAGTGCTTCCTGGCCACAGGGGCTCAGACTGTTCTGTTGGCACTGCCCCATCCCCTGCTCGGAAAACAAGAGAAGGCAGGCATCAATCACTGCCCAGTTCTGAAAACAGATCTGCAATCCTGCCTTTGGCAGGAGAGGCAGACTTAATGATCAGGCACGTTTTATTTTGAAACACATGTACAGATCTGGCTTTGCTCAGATAGGAATCACCCTGGGCTTGCATCAGTGGGGCCTTCATGCCAACTCCCACAACTGTCCAATGGCAAGAACCTGCTGGGTTTGACTCTACTCCCCTGTGGGAAGCTCTCCCTCAGCAAGGAGGAAGGGTCAGGCGCAGGACTCTGCCTCTAATCTATGGACTGAACCTTGATGTGCTCTTTAGGGTAGTGACTAAAGTTCTTTTTGCAAACTTCCAGCTCATGGGCACACGTGAGTGAATTAAAATCAAAGTGTCTTAGGTGGTTGTCAGTCCAATGACAGATGGCTTTCAAACGCTGAGTTAAATTGGGGTTTGGACTTGGGCATGCTCAGAGGTAAGTCCCAGTACCAATCCCTGATCGCCAATCCCTCAGTGTCCTTTTGGAAAGGGGTGGGGAAAATGAATACACCTTTCGCCGTTCCCCACCCCTGAGTAGGATGGAGGAAAGTAGAGTAGTGGCTCCCATGGGGGCTATAAAAGGGGACGAGGGCTTGAAAAGTCTAGCTGAGAAGGACTAAAATTCCTCCAAATACCCCCCTTTCAGGTTGAGCATCTTTTGATTGATCCATTTTTCTGCCTGTCAAAGGAAATCCTGGTGTTGGGTTTTTTGGGGCGGGCGGTTCAGTTGGGCAGTTTGCAAGAATAGTACCTGCTGCCCCTGGTAAAAGGCTTGAAACAAAATTGTTTTCTCTAAAGATGTTTTTAAAAATATCGGGTACTCCCCAAGCCCCTCCAAAATGCTGCTGTGGCACGAATGGAGTCTGGGGAGACTGGCTCAAGCGCTTTTTCCTGATTATTATTATTATTATTAATAACGACAACAATAGAAAAACAGGCCAAGTGAGCCAAAAGCAGTGCAGCCTTTACGGCTGCAGATGAAAGGGGACTCGTTCCCCTGGCCGTGTTCCCCGGCAGACTGGCTGGACGATGGAGAGGTTTGCTGGGCTCCCCATGGGCGCCCCATGGAACAGCCAAGTCGCCTTGGTAAATTGCCACAAGTGGCTTCTGTGACTGGGGAGGTGTGAGCAACCCATTTGCGGGGTGGGAATCGGTTGGATTCCCTGAGCTTGGCCTCCCGGGCTCCGGTCCGCTTTGCAGTGGCTCGGAGCCTGAGCTCCTGGTGAGCATGCCCAACATTTGTGGGGTGATCGCCAAGGATGGAACCCCACATGCCGCGCAAGCAGCGCCCCTCTCCCATCCCAAGTGAGGAACGTCGCCAGGGGCAAGCTGGGGCCTGTGCGCATTCGGGGGCCTCCCCTCCGCCTGCCTCGCTTTGCAAGGCTGAGCGGAGCACGAGAGGAGGGAGGGATTCAGGCAGCACTCGCGGCAACCCAGCCGTGCTGCGCAGCCCAGCCACCGCTTGGGAAAGGCCCGTGGCTCAGAGGCAGGGCGCGTGCTTTGCACGCAAGGGGCCTGGTCGCATCCCCAGTTGCAGGATCGTAGGCAGCAGCCCACGCAGCAGAAGGCGACTCCCTGCCAGGGCAGGCAGAAGCCGCCTCCGTGGACTGATGCTCTGGCCCAGTATAAAGCATCTCCAGAAGGCACCATGGAACTAGGTTCACACACCTCCCTGTTGCTATCTTTCCCGGTGCAGGGGGTCCTTCTAATAAAAATATACAGTATTTATTATTATTATTATTATTATTAACAACAGTTAACATTTATTATTAATGTTTATTGCTCTGAAATAATACAAGTACTGGGAGGAGAGAGTTTGCTCTCAGCAGGTAGAGATGCGCATCTCCATCTTTTCACCCTACTTTCCTCATCCATACAATGGGGCTACTCATGTCTTGCTTTGAGGACAAATGTGCAGATGCTCACCTGGATATGAGCTTGGCAAAACCTCAAATTCTTCAGCAACCTGGACCAGCGAGAGAGGCATCGCGGGGCCTTGCTCTGTCTCCAGGAACATTTCAGGCTTGGGATTCTGCAGTTCTGCTTAGCCAGACAACAAAGAAGAGAAACCTCTAAAGGAAGCCAAGTGCACAACCCATTGCAAGGCCCCCTGGCTTACTGGTACAACGTATGTTTTGCACGCAGAAAGAAGAGTTTGATCCCCGGCATTCCCCAGTTAAGCCTGCCTTTTCCAACCTGGGCCCCGTAATGTACGGGATTACAAGCCCCATCATCTGCTGCCAGCAGGCCTATGGCCAGGATGGCTCTGGGTAATGGAAGTTGTAGACCAACACACCTGGGTGTTCTCGGGTGGGGAAAAGTTGAGTTTGGGTGCAATTGGATGCAGGTTCAGACAGGAAAGGGGCTTTCACATGCACCAGGCTTTGTCCTTAAGCAGTCAGGTAGCTGGTGATGGGAAAGTCACTTCTGCGCCTGACACCCAGGAAAGAAGCCACAGGTTAGGGCAGGCCACACTGGATTGGATAGGCTAATAGCCTGCAGCAGCAGAAGGGCAGTTTCCTGTGTCTGAGAAGCAACTTCGATAGAACCTCATGTACTGCTCTGACGCATCTGCCGGGTGCTGAGAGGTGCTTTGGGCAACTGCTCCAATCTCAAAGGGAGGCATCAGAGAGCTGACCCCTCCCCATGGCTGGCATGGAAAGAATCGCACTGCCTGCCCCCCAGGGGCAGGAAGCAACCCCGGAGGAGGAGGAAAGGGGGTATTTCAGTGGACTTGGAGGAAAGGGGCCACAGGGGTCAAGATGCAAGCTCTCCTCCATCTTCTTCCCTTCCCTTCCTCTCCTCTCATTTATTTATTTATTTAAAACATTTCTATGCCGCCCCCATCACAATAAAGCCTCGGGGCGGCTCACAAAAAATACATAAAAACATACATAAATAATAATATAATAATTTAAAAGAAAAAAAACATTTAAAAACCCCCGGTGCATTCTCGGCTAATTTTAAAAACCTAATTAATTCAATAATTTAGCAATTAAAAGTTTTAAAAAGGTCTTAGCCTGGTGCTGAAAAACAAATAACGACGGTGCCAGGCAGACCTCTCTGGGGAGCGCATTCCACAGATGGGGTGCCACCACAGAGAAAGCCCTCCTCCGGGTACTTTCAGTCACAGAGGGTTCCCAGAGAAGGGCATCCGTTGCTGACCTCAAGAGGCGGGAGGGCATATATGGGTGCAAATGTTCCTTTAAGTATCCAGGTCCCAAGCTGTTGAGGGCTTTATAGGTCATCACCAAAACCTTGAATTGGGCCCGGACTTCAATCGGAAGCCAGTGAAGCTGACGGAGAACTGGGGTTATGTGAGCACAACGCCCATTCCCCGTCAGCAACCTGGCAGCTCTATTCTGCACCAATTGAAGTATCCGGACCGTCTTCAAGGGCAGCCCCACGTAGAGTGCGTTGCAGAAGTCAAGGCGGGAAGTCACCAGCACGTGTGTCACTCTTCCCAGTGTCCTTGCAAGACATGCTGAAAAGTCCATCTAATGGAATATGCAGGATGCAGGGACAGGGAGGCAAAAGCTACCTCCAAGCTTCTCCCGTCCTGTGCAGGTAGACCGGATGCCTCTGATCCACAAGGACACAGTGGAGAGGCCTTAAGGGCTGTGTTAGCAGGATCCTGTGCGGGGTTCCTCAGTGCAGGCCTACAGCAGGGCTTCTGCTTGAACACGGGAGCCGGAGGCTGTGCTTAAGACAGGGTAAGAAAGCGGCCACCCCCCACCTGCAATCTGTTCACACCTCCCTCCATTCCTCATGACCTACTTGTGGGCTTTCCAAGGAACTCCTGGCTGGCCACCGTGGGCAACAGGGACTGGGCTGGAAAGGCCAGAGGTGGGGGAGCTTTGGCCTTCCAGAAGTTGGGGGAATACAGCTCCCAGCATTCCATGTTGGCTGGGGCTGATAAGAGCAGCATCCAACAATACTTGGGAGGGAAAGATTTCCTTGTCAGGCGGCCACTTATGAATCACCAAAGAGCAGCCAGAAATGTGCATAAACCTTGCATGTGTCCATGTATACACACACAGATGCACAGGTTTGCAATAAGTATTATCACTGAAATAGAAATGTGGGCCTTGATCACTCTGCTGTCCTTGTATGCTGATGGGCAAGGTCAAGGCCCAGTCTTTACATCACATTTGGTCTGGACAAACTTTCAGACAGAGGATACCTTCAATATAGAGGACTAGTCTTTGACAGCTCTTCCAACTACAGAACTGTCCTCTGTAACAAAGGACACATGGCCACCCTACCCATGCCAGAAACTGGCTGCTAATTGATCCAGCAGGGCTTTTGCATAGAATCATGGAATAGTTAGAGTTGGAAGGGGCCAGAAGGCCATCAGGGCCAGTCCCCTGCCATTGCAGGACACAGAGTTACACCACCCCGTTCAGGTTCAGGTGACCATCCAGGTGCTTTCTGAAAGTCTCCAGCAAGGGAGAGACCACAACTTCCCCAGGCAATAGGTTGCATTGTTGTGCTGCTCTGGTGTCTAGTCTAAATCTGGTTTCTTTTAACTTAAGTCTGTTATTCTGTGCCCTGCTCAAGAAGACAGCAAGTAGCGGTATGTTCCTGCATTCTCACATAGTCAGCAGGGTTACCCAAAAATACCTCCTCCTTCCACCTCCGTAATGCTTTGGGAAAGAAGGTCTTTCTGTGCAATGCCCTATCCATCCATCCATCCACCCTGCTTGGCTCTGTCGCTCTGGAGGCTGCATCCCTTTGCTCGAAGGGAGCTGCCGTGACTGCAGTCTGATGCAGCTCCCCAGAGGTGAAATACGTTTATCTCAGGAGGGCCTCCGTGAAGCTAAGTCTGCCTAAGCTGAGTCTGCAGCTTAGTTTGTGTCGGTGGGGAGGGAGCACCTCTTACTTTCTAGAACAGGGGTCTCAAACTCAACTTACCTGGGGGCTGCTGGAAGTAGAGTCTGGGTGAGGCTGGGCCGCATCAAGTATTCCACCATGCGGTGGTGGTGGGCCGCTCATCCCGCGTCGCTCCCGGAGGCCGGCCCGGGTGCCGCCGGCGCTTTGAAGGCCGCAGGGCCCCTCCCCCGTGCCCCGCCATCCCGGCAATTGGCCCGCGGGCCGCGAGTTTGAGACCCCTGCTCTAGAATACCACACATACCCTTCCGGTTATCCTGTGCCTCCCCCCAGTTGGGGCTCCCCCCGTCTGAGCATGCTGGGAGCAAGCGAAGGAGGGTTCTGGCTGCTCAAAGAGCCAGGCCCAGATCCCTGCCCAGCTGTGCAGCTTGAGCTGGAGCGACCCGACCCTGGTTTTGCCGGCAAGAACACAGGAGGCAGACATAACGAGCAGCGTGAGAAGGCGCGAGTCTTACCTAGCCAGGAGAGCATGGTGCAGTACTGCTGGATGTTATTCCCATTGAGGGCAAAGAGGTAGGGGTCCAAGGCAAACTCCTTCTCCTCAGTCAGACTCACAGAAACCTCTTCAAAGGTCACTGGCTCCTAAAACAGCGAGAGCAACCCCCCCCCCAGCATGTGCTTAGACTCCCCACGAAGAAAAGAGGGGGAAGAATGCCCCAACCTGAGAACTCACTTCTACAGTTTTAACACTTGCCCCGCATCTCCAGCGGTACACGCAAGAGCTTCGTTCAGATGTTCAGAGTATCATGCGGGTTGCAAAACGCAGGCCTCGTTTGCCCATCGTAAAAAGGGATGCAAAGCATGTACAGCTGGGCTGGTGGGGTGGGGTGGGGGGTTAAGATCTGGATTGGGGCCCCTGTGCTTACTCTAGAATAAAAAAGGAATAGGCAACTGAAGCACCAGACACATGTCTGTCTGGGCCCTCTGTCCTCAGCTTCAGAAGCACTTGGCGTTTTGCTGGGTTCCCAGCCACACACAGAGATTGCATGCAGGCAGCACCCTGGCTGGTCATCTTCCCCAAAACCGTCCAGCACAATACTTAAGATCACTAGAGGATGGCTGCTGATCGTGATGAGTTCTGCCACGACCTGCAGATCACCCTCGTGCAGCTACCTAGAAGCTGGCCTTCTCGGTGGTGGCACCCACCTCATGGAATGCCCTCCTGCATGCTCTTCCCTGGGAGTAGGTCCCCTTGAATCCCATAGGGGTTCACTGCATGACAGACTCAAGGGAGCGAGTGAGAGCCCTGGACGCCTCTGCTACTTGCGTTGGCACAGCTGCAGAGTGAGGTCCAAGGTAACATAGCTATGGGCGATCCTTGACCACCCAGGAAAACAGACCAAGGTTGGCTAAGCGCGTCTCCCTGGCTCTGGCATTGGCCAACCCTGCCCCTCCTTTCCTTGCCCACAGTACTCCAGAGCAAAAGCCCCGACCCCTGCCCTGCCCTGCCCTGCCCCTGCCTTACCTGGAGGTTCTTCTCAGCGGCCATGTCTGATGTCTGCGTTTCCTCCTCTTCAGTGATGATCTAGAGAATCATGTTATTTTGCATTCTGGAATCAGCATTCAAAAATGTGGAGAGACCAGATCATTCATCCATTCATCTTATTGTTACTTTTTTAAAAGTGACCAATAACCAAAGACCTTTGCACATTTGATAAATTCAACATTCCTTCATTTTTGCCACTACCTAAGTGGATTTTTAAAGTTTATGAATTTGAAAGGGAATACTGCAGAATACTTATGCAAAGTTCATGGGGGCTATGGTTGCGCAGAATGATTTTGCTATGATTTATTTCAAGAGCACAAGTTGCGAGCATATTCTGAACACTTCTGTTATTGGTAACAAACTTATTGTGCCTACAGTGGCTGCATAATTGCCAGCCCAGGCATTTTGCAGAAGAACAGCCCAATTCTATGTACATCAGCTCAGAAGTCCAGCTATGTTCAGTGGGATCATTCCCAGGTAATTGTGTCTAGACTGCAACTTTAATAATAAAAAGGAAAACAAGAGCTTTCACAGCAATCCGGCACTTGCTGACTTACTCAGAAACAAGCCCCATACAGGTGAATGGAGCTCACTCCCAGTCCAGGCAAGTGGACAATCCAGTGAGGCACACGGGGGTTGGTGCTGGGGAGCCAACCTCCCTCCAGTCCTCACCCTGCCAATCCGTTGGTGATTCTGGGCCAGTCCCTCACTCTCAGCTACCTTGCAGGGTTGTTGTGCGGAGAGAATGGAGAGGAGAATTGTGCAAGCCGCCTTGTGTTTACTGGCAGGGAAAAAGGTGGGATATAAATATAATAAATAAAGATGTACAGGATCACAATCAATTTATGACAATTGTGACAAGGAAGAGGGGGAGACAAAGGTGGTAGCAGCTTTACTCTACTCATAAGCAAGTTTGCACTCGCTGTTTCTTACTCCCAGGTAAGTGTGCATAGCATTAGACTGCAATCCTCTGGCTATAGTTCGTGGAGAAGGTGCATTGGAATCAATGGGCCTTATCTCCACTGATGCCATTGCATGGGAGAGAGAACTAATTATTCCAGTTAGGCAAAAGGTAAGAGGCGACATAGTCTTGTCCTCCCAGATCAATTCACCGATACGAACTACTATTAGAGTGATGGAAGTTTCTGTGCTTAAGTGCGCTGCCAGTTCGGAAGTATGCCTCCACCTCTACATGCATGTGGAAATGCGGAAAATATTTTTAACAAATGCAAAACACGATCGTATGAGGAAAGTGGGGTGGGGGACCTCTCCAGTCTATTCGCATGGATAACGAATGCCTTTATTCCTCTTCATCTTCATCTTCCACCCGACCAATTCCACTGTGGGTTTTGCGATTTTGGCTGCGTGCTTTCCCTCGCTCCCTCTCTCCCGGTTTTGTACTTGGCTCTGAAGACCCTCCACCATCCCTCACCCCTCCTGCCTTACATGGAACCCCCCAAAAAGGCTGAGCAATGATCCCCTGGCGCACCCCGTCCACTTGCGGTGCATTTCCATGGTTGTTAAGTTGGATGGCGCTTTCCAAGCATGGGTGGTGGGAGGAAAGCGGGGCTGCGCAGAGAGCGGCTCCACCGGGATGCTCGTCAAGAGCAGGATCCCGTCCCCTCCCAGGAAAAAAGCTTGCCTTCTGCCCAGTTTCAACCTCCCTTCCTGAGACTTCCCAGGTCAAATCTCTTCCCGCCGCCGTCTTATCACAGCCTTTCCTGGACTACAGCGCTCTGCATCAGATGCACCGACAGAAATCTTAAATTGCCGGTCATTTATGGAGGGTAGATTCAGATGCAGCCACGAGTAAGAGAAGATCCGCTAAACTCAGCACCAACTTCAGTCTCGTGGATTTCAGCGCGGCTGCTCCACGTGTGACCGACTGGATTCATAATGTAGGAATTATGATCCGCCGATGCGTCTGACGAAGGGGCTGCTGGCCCCCAGAGCTTAATGCGCCAGAATAAGTGTGTGTGCGCGCCTCGCTCATTTTTGCTGCGCGCCAAGCGCGAAATTAACACGGGCAAGGAGGGTGCAGCGAGGCAGCCTTAGCCCAGGGCTGAATTAAGGGCCATACGGGCTCTCGCGCGCACGGCCGCGTGCCGCGCTTCCGACGTGACCTCGCGCGGCCCTCGCAGCTGCCTTCCCACGCCTCGCCACCCGCTGCCCGTGCATTCCCCGCATGCGAGCACGAGCCAAAACGGGCCTGCCGGCACGTGCGGGTCTGCATTCCGAGTGGCCGCGGCTTCCGGAATCAGCAGCTCGCCTCCCCTCACGCCAGGCTCTCGGGGGGGCGTCCGCGGGCGCTGCTGGGCCCAGCCCTGCGGCGCCCTCTGGGAGCGGGACGGCCGTCGGGGCCTTAGGAAGGCCTGCGGCCGCCGCGGCTCGGAGCAGGACCGTCCCCTGGAAACACCCCTCCACCGCGCAGCCACGCCGGCGAACTGCCCCCTGCTCCCTGCCCTTTCCCCGCCCCCGCCCCCCGGACGTCTCCCTCACCTCGGCAATAAGAGCAGCTCAGGCCGCGCAGTCTTCACTTTGGTCGGCCTCTAGGAGCGTCCCCAGCCGAGGGCATGCCTGCCAGGGGCGATCGGACTCGTGGGTGGCGGAGTCGCCCGACATCCCCTCTCCGCCGAAACAAAGCCAAAGGAAAAGACGGAGGCGAGGCAGCAGCCGGCAGTTTCCTTGCCACCTCCACCTCGGTTTCTAGTCCTCATGAAAAAAGGAAAAGCGCAGGCAAAAGGTCCCGCCTGCCTTAATCCGGGACTAAAGCGCCACTCTCGGGGACCACTGCGGTCTTAGTCATAAATCTCCCGAGATGGCCGAAAACATTTTAATTATGGGAGGAAAATGACTTTGTGAGTGTGTGAGGGGCGGGGGGAGAGGATGTACGAAGGACCTCCAAAGCTACCTATGGGAAGCCTGTCCCGCCAATAAAAGGTTTTCCCCTCCCCAACAAAAACCCAATCCAGAACAGCCCCTCCCAGATCTGCGTGTCCCAGATCTTCCCTCCTTTGTGCCACGCATCGCCCCCACCCCACCCGGATTAGTTCTTCAGTATTCAAAATAATGTGACCAGCGTTTAAGCTCAGCCTGGGCTGGCTTTATGATCTGGTCTAAAGTGCTGTTAAAGTGTTTCGAATTCGGTACAACGGGAAGGATCACCATGGAGCCTCCTTTTTAGATAGTGATAGTGACAGTCAAAACGCTTCCTGAAATTTGGTCCTTCCCACATTTGAAGGTGGTGGTGGGAATAATCCGAAACAAATCTCCTTTGTTTCAGTAATAAGGTAGCGCAGAGAGCAAACCCAACTGGCAAGCACCTTCACCGCAGTCTATTCCGTCAAGGATTTTTGTTCCTGGAATTGTTGTTGTTAGTTGCAAAGTCATATCCGACCCATCGCAACCCCATGGACAACATTCCTCCAGGCCTTCCTGTCCTCCACCATCCCCCAGAGTCCACCCAAGCTCACACCGACTGCTTTAGTGACTCCATCTAGCCACCTCATCCTCTGCCGTCCCCTTCTTCTTTTGCCATCTATTGTTCCCAACATCAGGGACTTCTCCAGTGAGTGTTCCTGGAATACACCTTCCAAAATACACATTTCCCAACATCATAGAAAAATAGCTGATCTAGTAGTGTTGGTTTTTAAATGTGTTTGTTTCCATGCTGTGAAAAATTTCACTTGTTAAATTCAAGTTTTTATTAAAGGCACAACATTAGGCCAGGCCGAGTTCGTTCGTTCGTTCTTTCTTGGCAGCTCTGCTGCAGGGATGCTCAACAATTTTATTTGTGACGGAGTTTCTGAGTTTCACATTTGTGTGGGGCAGAAATTAATCCACTGTTTTTTGGTGGTGGGAAAAGCCTCAGCTCAGCATCTGATCATCATTCAAGCAGCAAATGTAAACTGTCTTGAGATCTATATGGATTAAGGACAGTATATGAATATTTTAAATAAATAAATAAAAGTCCTGGAGCTGGGTCACAAACACTTCATATTCCTTGTAGAGTCATTTAGATCAGCAGTGGGAAGAAAGCAGATTGGGAGCCACTAGCCGGACAAGGCTTCTGACATCAGAATGTTCAACAACTAGCACGAACAAAGTCACTTTCCCCACTTAACCTACTAGGCTGCAGAAATGAAAAAAGCTTTGGGTAACCAAAAATGGGCCTGGATGAGTGTTGTCCATGGGGTCACGATGGGTGGGACACGACTTCGCAACTGGCAAGCAAGCAAGCCACCAAAAATGGACTTTTGTTTGAAAGGACCATTTCTGGCAGTTCAGTTCTGGTGCTGGAAATAAATTCTGAAGCTCAAGATATCCTCAGGTCCTCTCCTCTTTAACACTACATGTAGGGCTTTTGGGCTTTAGTGGGTGGATCTTGGAGTTCTAGGGGGAAAAAAACTCCATTTTGTCTTAATATAGAATAGAATAGGGGTTTTTTTAGTCAATTGTGCTTGCTTGATAACTTACATAAAGAATAACTCGGTGTCTCATCTGGATGTGAAGCAACAAAACTTTCAGAGGAGAAGGTTTATTCTCCAGGGTGAGCATTTGGGTAAGAGAGACTTTGGAGCTGCAAGTGTCTTTTTCAGTGCTGGGCCGTAGCCATTTTGGGGGCAGCTGTACAAGGGGGGCTGTGCTTTAGGGCGGCTGTGAGGCAGCAGCCCTCTGGGGGAGAGCAGCATTTGGGAGGTTTGTTTCCAGGGGGCAGCAGAGCACTGAGCCATGGGGCGCGCCAGGGGTCGTGGCTCTGGAAGGACTGAGCCGCTTCTGCCTGGGTGGGCAATGCTTCTGCGTGGAATCTTTTAGTCATTCTGACAATCATTAGCATTACACTGCCCATTATATTGTGAGCATTCTTGTGTATCCATCAACTTAAGGCTAGTGGGTGTTTCTCAGGGCTGTCTATGTGCCAGAATTTAGGTGCAGGGTAAGTGAGAGGTTAATAAATGACATGGTTGTCGAACTCACAGCGATGACTTTCTTTGTGTTTTCCA